GTCTGCGTCTGACGGCGGTGGGCTCAGCGTGTCCACCTCAGGCTTTACGCCCTCCATGGGCGCGTCGGCGTCTCCTCCACCGCCACAGGCTGACACCAGGCCCCTCAGAGGTTCTACAGGCGGGAGAGGAGTGGGGTGGGGGTTAAGGCAGAGACCCCGCCCCACCCACATCAACTTAGGGCCCCGGGGAGGGAACTGGGAGCTGGCCTAGCTTCTGAGGGCTATTTTAGGGGAAAAGAGAAGCTAAGGGCCTAGGGTCCTTGTAGGGTCAGAGCTTAAGGCGAGCCGGGGTGGGGCAGGGCCAGAGCGAGAGGCCCTGGGAGGCCAGGACTCACTGCTTTTATGCGCAGCAGCGCGCAGACTCAAGTTTTCCTGCTTGAGTTTCTGGTTGCTCTGCTGTAGAAAGCGAATGTAGTCAATGGCCTTGCGCAGGACAGCAGATTTATTCAGCTGCAGGAGACAGCACAGTGGCCAGTCAGGCCTGGCAGGTGGGCACCTGAGCAGGGGGTGGGGCTGCTGGTGGGACAGCTGCCCCAGGGCCTTTGCACTGGCTGTTCCTGCTACATGGAATGCTCCTCTCCTGGTGCACCCAACCTCACAGGAGGGGCATGAGAGTTAGTATATAAAATGCCACAACAGTGCCTCACTAGCCGCTGGTAGCAGCATTATTGCCACCTTCACGGCTCACTCCCTCACCCCCAATCCCTGCCTTACACCTGCTTTTCCTGACCTGATTCTCGTTGGCACCTCCCAGTCCTCTCCCTGCATAACGTGAGCCATTGGGGCCGTCTACCCATCACTCATCTCTCATTTATTGTCGTCCCAATTAGGAAGTCAGCTCCTCACAGGAGGGTTTTGTGTCTGTTCTCTTTATCCCTGGTGCTTAGAATAGCCCCGGGGCACAGGGAGGCCCCCAACGTTTAGCTGAATAAGTAAAGTGGCCAGACCAGCAGACTTCCTCCTCCCCCAGCAGCCTCCCTCCCGAGCGCCCTCTGCCTGTGCTGGCACCTTCGCCTCAGCGCCCACCACCAGGTCCTTGAGCTCGATGATCTTGTCATTGATGGAGGAGCGGTAGCGCTTCTCAATCGCATTGTGGGCTGTTCGCTTCTCGCCGCGGCTCTGGGCCGCACCCAGGGCCTTCCCACTGGCCACCAGCCGACTGATGGGCAGCTTGTCAGCGTCCACGACCAGCGGCACTGTCGCCAGGATGGCCCCGCCACTCACCAGGGTCTGCGGAGCCAGGCAGGGGTTACCGGGCGGGCCTGCGTGTGTAGACCCACTGCCCTTCTGCCCTGCCCATGCCACCCACCTGCAAGGGCCCGGTCTGCACAGCCGTGCCAGCGGCCAGGGAGCCAACACCCGCCGCCTTCGCAGGGGCTCCCAGGTCTGCCTTCACGGCCGTCAGGAGCAGCGAGTCGGCCTTGATGAAGTGGGGCTGCAGCAGGACCTGCGACAGGGAGGCCTCTGCTCTCACCTGTGCCTGGGCCAGAAGCTGCCCCCCCACGCCTGGCCAAACCCTTACCGGGACCTGCTGGATCTGTGAGGTCACAGTGGCTGCTCCAGGGGCCACTGTGGTGGGGGCTGTGGCTGTCAACAGTGGCTGGGGGGCTGCAGTCTGAACCTGGGCGTGCACGGAGACTGGTGGGCCCCCCGGCGAGCCAGGCAGAGGCTGTGGGGTGCTCCCTGGAGGGGTCCCTGTAGAAATAAAGGCTGGGCTGGGGGACCAGCTGCTCTCACCCACGCTCAGCCCTGCCTCGGGGCCGGTCACTGTGTGACCGTGGATGAATCATTGCTCTGGCCTGTTTCCTCCCTGGCGCCCCTACTGGGCTCTGAGTGAAGGTGCTCGCCCGACAGGCAGGTGAGTCTGGAAGGCGGCGTTGAAGTGACGCCCAGCAGAGTGAGAGGCAAAGCTTATTAACCCAACAGAACCCAGTGCTGAGATTACCCATGTCTCCCCCTGAGAATTCCTCTACCGACACCCACACCGCAGCGATCCCCCCCCACCCCCCGGCTCCCCTCCCTCCCACGCCCTCACCTGCGGAAAAGCCTCCAGCGGGGCTGGGATAGCCCGGCCCAGGGCTGGGGCTCGAGGTGAGCTGCAGTGGGGCTGAGGCCGGAAAGCTCTGGGGCGGGAGGGCCCCTGGCAGCGGTTGTGGGGTGGGCGGCTGCAGGATGGTCAGTGGCACTGGCTCCTCCTTGATCCCAGGCCCGGGGGAGAAGGCAGGCCCAGGTGGGTACATCTTCAGTGCGGACGCAGGCTGGGGAGGGGACAACAGTGGGGGGATGGCCTTGGCCCCCCCCAGAAAGCCTTCCAGTGGGGAGCTCATAGTGGCACGCGGTGGAGAGGAGCGGGCTTCGGGACGCGCAGGGTCTGCGCCCCCAGCATAGGGCGGGTCGAACAGGCCTGGAAAGTCAGCATCTTGGTTGCTGAGGAGCTGGAGCATGTCTGGGGAGGAGAAGAGACATGAGGACAGACCGTCACACATGTGCACGCCCCATCCACACGGCTGCCAGGCACCCATGACAGGAGCCACAGTGGTACCTCCCCTTATCAGAAAGTCGCCGCACCATGGGCAGTCGGGGTGACGCATGCCCAGGGCCCCGAGGCCCCTTAACTCAGCCCACACCTCGGCTGAGACAGAACGGGGACCTGGGCATGAGGCTGCAGAATGCAGCGCGGCCCTCCCACCCCTCCTCCACCCGACAGACAGCTCGGAGCAGAGGCAGCTGCCGGCCACGTGCATGCCAGTGAGTGTCCGCGTGTTCCGGGCAAAGCCCAACCTCTGCCGCACCGAGCACGCTGGGACCCTGTTCTGGGCTTGGTTTCCCTCCGTAACAGCAAGTGTCTGATCTGACGCCTCCTCCTGCACAGACGGGACACCCTCTCCCCGATGGCCCAGCCTGGCCGCAGGCGCCACCCCCCCCAAGCTGGGGAGCAGCAGGCTGGCGGGGTCTGCCCGGGGCCCTCTCACCCATTCTGGGCAGCTACCCACTGGGTCCAAGTTCCCTGCAGGACCCATGAGCACAACCCTGGGGCCCCCAAAGCCCCTGAGACCCTCAGCCTGAGCTCTCGGGCAGTCCACACTGGGGTGAGGTGGGGCCTGGGCCTGGGCCCCTCCGGGCCTGTGGCCTCATCCCTTGGCCACACCCAGAGAGGAGGGGAGGGGAGGGGAAGCGAGGAGAGGGGAGGGAGGGGACCCCAGGCCTCAAAGCCGGCAGCCGGCACAGCTGCCCTCAGGCTGCCTGGCTCCTTCCTCCGGCAGGTGCCCAGGCCCAGGTTACTGCGGGGGCTCCCTAAGGCCTCCAACAGAGCGAGACGGGGTGCCGCTCAGCCCCCCAAATAGACACGCGTTGTGGGCCCCGAGGCTGTGAGGTCAGCACACCCTGTCCCTTGCAGGCTCCCCGCATCCCTCGCCGACCTCACACTGCGCCTCGTTGACAGACGGGGAAACTGAGGCCCCAGAGGAGGGCGGACGGGACCCAGGATGGGGTTGGGGCGAGGCACCCGGC